GGACGGCGGGGTGGTGATTTACGGCCTGCTGCGCGCAGGCCCACCAGACACAATGATGGGCATTGGCATTCGACAAAGATGGTGGGGGCCGACCGGTTTCCCGATGTATGCTGTCACGTGCGCAGGCGCTCCCGACACACTCTGCACCTGCCCCGAAAAAAGCGGCGAACCGGGCGCGAACAGAGTATGCGGCACACCTGGCGCACGCGGAGCACGTGGCGCATCTGGCGCACCAGCCGTGCCTGGCACGCTCGGGCCCCAGGAGTGCCTGGCGCGCGTGGCACGCCTGGCACGCCTGCGCACCTCGCCCCAGAGTCGCGCACATAGGGTCGCTTTTGGTTCCCAGTAGCTGCCCATCCAAACACGACCGCTGAACATGCTCAGGCTCGGGTGTCACTTATGTGTTGGGCGGGCGGGTGGGAGTGAACTAGACGGCTTGCGGGCGGGTGGGTAGCTTGACCCCTCCCCCTACCCCATCCGCTGGGCCTGGGGGGGGGGGGGGCACGAGGAGTTAGAAAACTCAAGATCGCCCAAGATGGCTCAAGGAGGGCCTCAGAGACCCCAAGATGGCCTCCAGCTCCCGACCACGGAGATGCCAGCGCTGATGTCGACATTCCCCCCCCAGGAACTGCAATCTGGAAGCGAGGAGAGCGGGGAGGACGAGGACTATGTTGTGACCATCGCACTCAAGGGCCACATCCCAGAAATCGTTTCGAACACCCAGAGAAGTATCGAAGCATTGTCCACCCCGCACGCAGGCTGGGGACATGTCGAACGAGTATCGCCCCCCAGGGCCCGACACGTGAAAGCCCTTCGGTTTCCGTACTGTCTTGGATGATCAAGGCTGAAGTAGGCTGAAACATCTCAAGTTGAGGACGAGGACGAGGACGAGGAGGAGGAGGGGAAGGAGGATGAGGAGGAGGAGAAGGGGAAGGAGGAGGAGAAGGGGAGGGGGGAGGATGAGGAGGAGGAGGAGGAGGGGGAGGAAGAGGAGAAGGAGGAAGAGGAGGAGGAGCAGGAGACCCCCCTCCCAGGGCTTGTTGGCTTGGGCGCAGCCTCGAGGCGCAGGGGTCTGTCCGTGTTGCCTGAGCCGTCCGCAGCCCGCCCCGCGTGTAGCCGGCGCAGGCCCACCGATCCGCCCGAGGCCTCCACGCCCACTCCCGCGGCCGAACGGAGGACCACCAGTCGGGTCGGGCGAAAGGGGGGGATAGCAAAGGGGGGGTTTGAGAATCAGCTCACGTAGCTGATTTTCCCGGCGCCTCCCGGCACCGGAGGCGGCCATGTTATCGAGGAATGGGCCCCTCGGTGAGGCCGAAACCAGCTGCATGCGGCAAATTTCGTACCCCCCCCCTTCCCAATCCCCCCCTTTCGCCCGGGCCGAACCAGGGGAGGGGAGCGGCTTCAGGGGATGAGCAGGGTCTGTTGGAGGCCTGGAAATTGGCACCAGCACCAGCACAGGGGTTCGCCTCCACAGGGAGATGAGGATCTTAGGTTTCGGTGTCGGTGGTAATGTTTCGGTCACCTTGGAAGCCAGAATATTACCACCATCACCGAGATCGGGATCGTTTTCCCTTGGTGGAGGCACACCGCCGATCTTGGTGTTGGTGTCAATCTCTAGGACTGCGAGTCTGGGAGGCAGGCGGGGAGGCAAAGAGGTACGAATCAAGACGAGGCCAGAACGAGGATGAAAATCGGACAAAGAGAAATCGGGGATCTCTGAGGGATGCCACGGCAGATCCTTGTCCTGGCCCCGCCCGGCCAAGACCGCTACTCCCCAGACCTCTCCCAGGGTGCCTTCTGACCAGAACTTGAACATCTCAGCCAGCGGTGGTGGCGGCGAGGGCCGCCCGGGAGGCCCAAAGAGGCGAACGCGAGGCAGGGGTAGCGGTGCGGGCTCTATTTTCCCTCCTCGCACACAGGCACACACAAGCACACACACAGACACACAGACACACACACACACAGACACAGACACACACACACAGACACTTTTCGCCGGCGGCGAGGCAGCACTGCTGCACCAGCGATCGGGCCAAACGGGGCTATAGAAGAGCGACTTTGCCCAGCGAGCAGGAGAGGAGACTGAGACAGACGGGGCGGCCGCGGAGGAGGAGGGAGGGGGGGGGGTACTCCGAGGCGGAAGACACACACACAGAAGCACACCTGAGCAAGGGAGGGCGGCTGGCCGGAGGACGAGCCGAGCGCGGGGGGAAGAAGCAGCACCGCGACGCCCACGACGACGCCCGCCGCCGGCGCCGCTGCCGCCGGGCGCGAGGACGACGCCGACGGCGGCCTCCGCCGGACGCCGCGGGCGCCGCCGCCGGCGACGCCCGCGACCACGGGGCCAACGCCGCCGAAGACGACCCCAACGGCCCGCCCGGCGGCGCCGACGGCGAAGGCGACCCGACAGCGGCGCCGACGGCGCCGAGGCCGCCGCCGCCGACCCGACAGCGGCGCCGCCGACGATGGCGATCACGACCCGGCGGCGGCCCGACGGCGCCGGCGGAAGCAACGCCGGCGGCCTCCGCCCGGCGCCGCGGCGCCGCCGCGGGGGGCCGCGGGAGGCGCCGCGCCGCCGCCCTCGCGCGGCAGCAGGTCGGCCGCCTGGGCCGCCGCGGGGTGCCGCTCGGCCAGCGTCGTCGTCGTCGTCGTCGTCGTCGTCGTCGTCGTCGTCGTCGTCGTCGTCGTCGTCGTCGTCGTCGTTGTCTCGCCGCCAGCCCCGTGGTCGCCGCAGGCGCGGACGTCGTCGTCGGCGTCAGCGGCGGCGGCGTGGTCGTCACCGTCGCCGCCGCCGTGGCTGTCTGTGCCGCCGTCGTCGTCGTCGTCGTCCTCCTCCTCCTCCTCCTTCTCCTCCTCCTCTCTCTCTTCCTACTCGTCGTCGCAAGCGTCGTCTCTGCCCCCCACTGTCTGACGATTACGTTTTGGGCATCATCGCAGGCCTCGCGAATGCCTCAAAGAAACTGCCTCGGGCAAGCCCTCCTATGAAAGGTGCCAGCAAACTCCTCGTGCACTCTTCCCGGGCAATGGTCCAGCAAACTCCTCATGCGCCTGCCCACGCCCACCGATCCTCCTAATCCTCCGCTTCCTCAGTTCTTCCCGTGCCTCCACCCCTGCCTCCAGTTTGCCTGTTCCCTTCTCGTTACCACATTTCCTGCTCCCCTTCTACCCCCTTTCCCAATCCTCTCCCCCCCATCCGCAGTCTCCTTCTCCCTCGTCCTTCTAATCTCTCATGTTCAAATCCCTTTCTCTCCATCTTCCCCATTTATCTCGTTTTCCTCCTCCTTCTCCACTCCTCCTCCACCCCCTCGGCATCACCAACACTCGCTGGGCCATGGGTGCGCCAACCAACGGCGTCAGATCCTCCTCGGCTTCCTCCTCACCCTTCTTCCCTGACCTCCCCGATCCTACTTTCCACTCCCTCCCCCCTCATCCGTATCCTCCCTCCATTGTTGTCCTGGGCACCCCCGGCAACCAGTGACTGTTTCTGGTACTCCTCCTTCTCATCTTCGTCCTCTTCCACCTGCTCAAACTCTCCTCCTCGTGCTGCTACTGCTGCTGCTGCTCCTGGTCACTCTCGCCATCGTCTCCTCCTCCTCCTCCTCCTCGTCCTCTTCCACCTGCTCCAACTCTCCTCCCCGTCCTGCTACTGCTGCTGCTGCTGCTACTCCTGGTCATCCTCGTCATCGTCACCCCTTCATCCTCCCGTCTACTGCTCATGTCCTGCGTCGCCCTCGTCTTTCTCCTGCTGGCGATGCTGCTATTACGCCTTCTCCTCATCCTCCGCCCCTCCTCCTCCTCCTCCTCCACCTCCTCCTCCTCCTCCTCCTCCACCTCCACCTCCCTTCCTCCTCTCCTCTCCTCGTCCTCGTCCTCCCTTTTCCTCCTCCTCCTCCTCCTCCTCCTCCTCCTCCTCTTCCTCCCTCCTCCTCCTTCCCGCTCCTCTTCCTCCTCCTTCCCCTCCTCCTCCTCTCCTCCTCCTCCGATCTCCCTGCTCTCCTCCTCCCCCCCTCATCCTCCGCTCCTCCTCCTCCTCCTCCTCGTCCTCCTCGTCCTCCCTCCTTCCTCCTCCTTCTCCTCCTCATCCTCCTCCTCCTCCTCCTCTCCCATCATCCTGCAGCCGCTGTAAATGTTTGTGAGAGGTGACGATCGGGTGGGACTGGCTTCTCCTCGTCTTCCTCCTCCTCCACCCCCATCATCCAGCAGCAGCCGCCGCTGCTGCTGCTGCTGCTGCTGCTGCCCCTGCTCCTGGTGATGAAGCTGCTCCTGCGGCTACCGATTCTCCTCCTCCTCCTGCTTCCGCGCCCCTGATGTTGATTCCCCCCTCCCCCCTGTCATCATTCTTCCCCACCCTGTTTCCCCAGGTCGTCCGTCATCTTCCTTGTCCTGGTCGTCCTCCTAGCTTCGACGCATCTCTCGTCCCCCACCTCCTCTTCCCCGAGGTGAAGCGCCAGGGGGGGACAAATTCAGGGAGGGAACGTCGAGGTCGAATCGGCGATACAGTGGAGGCCAGTGCACAAGAAACTTTCCACAAGAAAGCCAGACCTGAGACCCCGGGACGTCCCTTGGTTTTTGGCGTTGGACCGTCGCGCTCTCCATCGCAAAACCATCGAAACCCAACAAACCCAGGTCACCCTGGAGGCATGCAGGGTGTTCCTTGGCATGGGTCTCCACTGTACATCGCCGACAGATCGGTGATCCCCCATGGAACATCCGAGCGGTCCTGGGCGGGGAGGGGCTATCGGGCCCCTACTGGCGATCAGTGGGCGATTGGTGGTCGATGCATCCGCCGCCCCTGAGCCTATCCCCCCTTCGTTGACGTTGCCCCTGGTTTGGGCAAACTAAATGGTACCATGAGTTATCCCGGGGTGCGTTCTGATTATAATTTCGAGGTGAATCCAGGAGTACCGACGAGTGTCTCCCGAAAGGCCCAAAAAGAAGGAAACGCGGGAAGAGCA